GACAGAGAGATGATACATAATGAGTGAAATGCATTCTGTAGAGATGGTGGTTTTAGATGTCACATCTTAAAAAGTTTACATTTTAAAGGACAGGGCTACAACTGTGTGCACAAAAATGTGTTATAGAAAAGATGTAATGCAGAGTAGTTTGTATACATGGTACATTGCTTGAATTCCAAATTGGATAAGATAATTTGGGAAGAGGTATATAATCTTATGACTGCTGGCAAAAGTGTGATGCTGCAAATTATGCCCTGGAGGGATGATAGAGGGAAAGAAGAAATAACTTTAGAGGGTGTGGGTGTTAAGTATATTTCTGCTCAGGATGGAAACAGTGCTTGTTCTCACCTCAGCTGCTGCCAGCAGGGTGCCAAGCTCAGCCCAAGAACAGATCCACAGTTTTCAAGACCAGCCATTATAGACTGGGAGAACACGTGGGCTGTGTCCAAAATCACTCACTGCTCACTATATAGCACCCTCTACTGTCTTCAGCGTTTTGTAGTGATGTCCAAATGCTGAATGTATAAATCTACCCACTATATAGTGCACGAACAATTCCACAATGCAATGCTGGGTTTACAGATGAGTGATGATGCAAAATGATGATGATTAGTACTGTAAGTGTCCACATTTAACTGCTCACTACTGAGTGTATATTATATAAGGAGTAGTGAATGGGGGAGAAATTTTGTGATTACTCCAGTCTCACTTTTTGTATGTATGCAGATATAAATTCAACTGAACAGTTGACACTGCTAACTGCTAGTGGTGTGCCTGTCCGGAATAACCCCCATGGCTTTATGTGATCAGTTGTACATCATCACGTCATACAGCTGTTTAATATTTCTCACTCCCGCTAAATTGGATGTTTTTCACTTAAGTGTAAATGTACTGGTGACACCAGTGGCTGGGGGTAGCCACAGCACATGGTATTCCCGAGTAATCTTCTATCCAAGTACTAACCAGCCCTGACCCTGCTTCTGCTTAGCTCAGTAATATTTTACATTGTACAGTTTATCTCCAGACCTCACAATAGGACTTAATATAGACTTTATTTTGTATTATTACTATTCATTTAATCATAAACCTATAACGCAAACCCAGACATCAAAACATTTCTACAGATTCATGAAACTGGCCCTCTGGGAAGCCTAGAGTATGCAGCTCCAAACATCATGGGTCATTCAACTTAAGTTGCTCATAAGGCTTGTGTTTTATGGTGCATTCACTTCCAGGTAAATGAACCTCATCTAGAAGGAGATATTGTGCGAGATTGTCGTTCTTTGTTAGATCTTAGCTTTTACATACTGTATCTTTAAAAAAAGAGAGAATATTATGTGCGTCAGATTTGTGCTCAGCAAATGGCAAAAAAGTCACCTACTGTATGGCACTATGATTCTTAGTTTCAAATGCATTACATTTATAAAAATCAGCCACTGTAAACCCAATAATTTCAGTGGTATTTTAAAGACACAAGCACTTCCAGTCTGGGTTATTTTTCTTTATTTTGAGTCACCAGAGACTCAGTTAGCACCTGAGAATAAAGGGGCCTTTCAACCCTGACACATTTGGGATTAGCTATGAGTTTAGAACACCTAGGCATGGAATTTAAGGCCATAGTTTAGTCCATTACTACTTGACTCAGGTATCTCAGCCTATCACAATTAACCTTAGTTGCTTGCAACTCCACACATTCTCCTCATATTTACCAAATGTAGATTCAGTCTGTGAGCAATAAACTTCAATCAAAGCTTCAGAATGTCTCTAGAGAAACATCAATGATCAGGTAGCCCTGTTGATTATTGCTGTATGTGCCATGTAACTGTTCTGCATTAGTACTCAGTGAATGTGATTCAGTTTACTTGAATGAATCATATACTGTATTTGTTTCTACCCCTGTCCGATGAAAAATACTAACATTTACATTTGTGTGGATGCTAGAGGTAAAATATGAATAAGCTGCTTAGAGTAATATGCTAAGGTAAAAACCTAACCTGTCCAGAAATGCATGTCCTTCAAAATATACTTAGTTATCCAAAATACTTATGTGTGCAACAAAATTGAGGTGCAGGGTATGATCTGCTAAAATATATAAATGAAACTAATAACTCTTCCATTTCTGAGAAAGAATATAACAATCCTAGATATCTCCTAGATCTGTAATTACTGTAACAAACCCCAGCTGAATACAGTATGTGCTGTTTTGGAGGGGATTGCTGGCAATTGCAGCTGCAAGCATTGAAGCTGGGCAGTAATTTAAAACACATGAATGTCACAGGTCTCTACAGGCAGGAATGTCTCTGCTAATTACTGCAGTGGCAAATATCAAATCTTATCTTATTTGTCTTTTATACATTCTCAAAAACCCAGTTTATCATATGTGGCCCTTTGAAGATGGATATTAAACATCATTATGAGGTGTGGAACGGTGGGACAGTGATTTTTACAGCAAATGGTCAAATTCCATTAATGCAGTTAGACACAATGACAAAAATGGTTGCTGGTTTGTGTAGTTGTTTTCATGTGTGTGTGTGTGCACACCAGCATATTGAGTAGTCCTGGTCCATTTAGGATCCTATTCATCATTTGCCTGTGACAATTGTGGATTGGAGTATCTTGACAGTAAGTCCCTGTAATTAATCCCTGTTCATACAAAGTTTCTTGGCTAAAAGAAGTTATACAACCATCCCTTTGTTACACTACTTAGTGTACACTGTTACACAGCTCAAGCAGATTACAAGTATTAATGGGGTTGAAAACCAGCCTGGAACATTCACACATGGTTAAACATATATTACAAATACAGGTTTAAATATCAGGAAAAAAAAAAATCAGTATTTGATTGGAAAATACCTGGAATCAATAGCATGCAAATTTATGGTCATGCCCAGCCTCCCTTATCGCTGACATGAGGGCCGGGTCTAAATGAATGTGAAAGGTCAAATTATTTCATGGCTGACATTTTAAAACCTGCTTCATTGGTTGAACAGTGGGAAAGCCATTAAATGTCATCTCTAATGAAGTCTTTATGTAATGGCCTGATCTTCAGTATCCTGATTATTTTTTTTTAAACATTGCCACTAAAAGAGGTTACTATCATAGGCATTAGAGAAATCAAGTTTCCTGGTGTCTGCTCTTTATTTGATACATGGTCAGAAAACATAAATACTCTATTAAAGCACGGTGGCACAGTGGTTAGCGCCGTTGCCTTCCGGGTTCGGGCCCCACCAGGGACCTTTCTGTGTGGAGTTTGCATGTTCTCTCCGTGGGTTCTCTCCTGCTTCCTCCCACAGTCCAAAGACATGCAGCTTAGGTTGATTGGTGTCTCTAAATTGCCCATAGGAGTGCGTGTGTGTGGTTGTTCGTCTATGTGTTAGCCCTGCGATGGATTGGCGACCTGTCCAGGGTGTACCCCACCTTCGCCCGATTGCCGGCCGGGATTGGCTCCGACACCCCCCGGGACCCCGTACAGGGACTAAGCGGTAGAAAATGAATGAATGAATGAAAATATACATACTGTAGATGGTAAACAACTAACATACCATATGTATGAGAATCATATGAAATTTATTTTGTTCTTGGATACCCTTTACTGAGCTCTGTAATTCCAGTGCATATTTTGTTTTCTGCAGTTTGACAATATACATAACAGAAAATATCTACATGTGCTGTTCACATATCTCATTTCTCCCAGAAATCAGTAAAATCACTTTGTCAAAATTAAGTACTATGTAATAAAAGTTAATGTTTATGCAGGTAAAGGACCAGATGAAACAATACTTGTATTAGTCCACATTCTTCAAAACGCCCCAGACATATTCAACACGCACATTATTGAATATAAACACATTAGTACCTTTCATACACTTATAGCTCTGCAATTACAGTAGAGGGCAAAAAAACATAATCATAATTATGAAATAATAAACAAGATTTTAGTATCATGGAAAAAAAATTAAATATTGTTTTTTGCACCACTGTTCAAACACAAGACATGCTCTGTTATCAGTATGATGGGTTTGTAAATAAAGTTGGAAACATCTTCCACTTCACCCCAATATAACAGGTCTGGTCTACATTTGAACAATCGTTCTTATGCTTTTGGTTCTGTTTCATATAAAAAATGTCCAGAGCACCTGCTAATCCACGTCTAAAGGAACATCACTGTGGCCAACATTCAGCATTTCCTACAAGAAAACTCACTTTTAGCAGGTTTTCTTTCACAGAACAGTGCAAATGAGTTCACAAATGATATTATAGTTTGATATTCTCTATTGCATCTGTGTCAGTTTGGCACTTTATAAGATGTAATAACTTTGTTACACTTCTTTAAACTACTGGATACCGATAATGACCAGTCTACATTGCTACTGACACACTGAGATAGAGTATGTGCACACTGAAGACTGATTTAGACTACTAGGTCGCAGGACTACCACTAAATACAAAAGGAAAAGAACTCCAGGAAGTATGACATAATCGGGAAAATGCATATGCTAGTATCATCACTGATGCTTTATTAATGATGGCAGATAATAAGACCGGTGACAACCCATGTGGCAGTGGAAAAGGTGGAAATAATTAATATTCATTTAGACAAGCAAATACTGTTCTGGCTTGGGAACAGTTTTTTGTTTTTTTCCCCTGAAAATAATTACATCTACTACTCAGAAGCTGCTGCAACTCACTAGTTCAACAGATACAACAGTTGGACAGGCCTTTGTGAGAGCAGTCTACATTGATCACAACATAGAAAACACAGAAAAAAACACAGGTTCCACTGACACACTGAACAAAAATGTATCTTCGATATAAAAGACAACATTCTTTTTCTCTTTTCAGGGGCTATATGGACATAAAATACAGTTTAATTCAATAACATAAATAAATAAATAAATAAATACCATTCATGAATAAATAAATAAATACCCCATTACCCCAGACTATTGTAAATGGTCAGTTCCACATAATACAATAAGGGTAACATACTGTATGATGACATGTGCTTTCTTTGACTTATAATTTATGTACATGAGCAATGTGATTTACACCCTTTCCTTATGAGTTTACAATTTGTACTGAAGCAGTGTCTCCATTTGTTGCATACTGGTCACTATCAAAATTGATCTGTAAGGGGCTGTATTCCATGTGCGTTACATCTTATACACAACATTTACAGTTCATATGCTTTCACTGTGTCCTCCGCTCTCCTCTCACAATATTACATCATTTAAATGAGATTTTAAGGGAAAAAGAAAAAAAAACCCTGCTAAACTAGTGAATTAATTGCCTCACTATGTTAATTTGTTGTTCTTCTCAAAGAAACAGGAAGTCAGATACTTGTACATCTGTGCAAATGCCCTTATTAACACAACTGAAGCTCTCAAGTGTATTTATTATCAATTCATATTTTCCAGCTTGTTTGTTTGTTTCTCATTTTAGAAGAAATGATACAGAATGTTCTCCTGCCAGGGAGTTTAAAATGACCTACAGCTTTCCGTACTGGCGTTAATTGTAGATTAGTTCCTCTATTTGTAGGCAAAATCTCAAACTCTCGTTATGCAGTTGCAGTTATTGCTCTGCTAATGTAAAGGGGAAACATGATTAGTTTTTATAAGAAAACCTAACGTGATGTAGTATTATTCTCTTCAGAATACAAAAGAAGTGTGTCATTATGTAAATGCATGCTTTTAACTGCAAATGGAGAGGAGGGTGAGAGGCCCATGTTGCCTATAATGTAAGCTATGATGATTAAGCTAGTTGTCTGGACTGAAATTCAGGGTGGATAATTTTGCCTGTATTCAAAAATGATTCCTCAAATTAAAAGCATAAAATCACATTTTTGTCATTTAATTTCCCAATTTTCCTAGAAAAAAGTATAATTAAATCCTGACTGATAATCAACAGTACTAATTTTTCCATAACCAACAACAGAGGACAATAAAACGTTGATTTTTGGCCTGAAAGGTGCATGCAATAAATGTAAACCACTACTGTATGTAATAGTAAAATATGTACAGGGTCTGTACAGTTGAGCATTGTCCATAGATGGCATTGTCACTCTCTGACCACACACGAAAAATGCAATGTTCAATTGTGCTAATACAATAAATAAATATAAAATAAATTTGCGTTATTAAATTCCAGTGTCACAGCTCCATTAAAGTGCTTCAGATTTTATATTTTAGTATGTTATGGGGAAAAACAACGGAAATGATGAAACAGGAAATGTCATTTTGATTTCTCTGTTGAGTGATTGATATGCTTTGAATTATTATAATTGTGTACTAATTGTATGTCTAAAAATAAAGCTGTTGCTAAATTTTCTCTGAAAAAGAAATTTAAAGGTTCCAAAAAAAAGAAGAAATCAAAATAAACCAAAATTCAAAATAAAATAATGAAAAAAAAACAAAATTTAGATGATTTTTATATCTCGCATACAATCAACGCTTTCACAACACATTTACAAACCTCTTCGTGCCAGTATAATGTAATGCTACAACATTTGCAATGTCTGTCAAAGTTATCAGATACAATGGCTAAAATTTAAAAAATTATTATGAAGAAAGTAAAGAAAAGGCTTTAAATCAAATCATTAGGCATTTCAGTGGGTCCCCTCTTTCAAATGTCCCTTGCTGGCATGAGCATATGTCAAATATAATGAACTGTATGATAAGGCTGGACATACCAGGGCCTAGAGATAAAGATAGGAGACCCAGTAGACCAGGTTGAAGAGACCAAATGCAGTGGGGAAGAAGATGCGTGCATACGAGTCTATCTTTGCAACGCGGATGTGCAACCTGCCATGCCGCCAGGCTCCAGAGCGGCAGTCTTCAAAACAGCAGAAGAAGCTGGTGCAGTCCTTCCCATCCAGACATTCGTAGCCGTACTCCTCGTCTCGCTCCTGCATGTGCGTGGCGTTGTTCATCTGAATGGCTGTGGCTGAGCGTGGACGGATGTCTACCGTGGGTGTCTGCTTTTAACAGGACAAAATGACAGTTAGCCGCCGGAGCTTCGGAGTGCCATAATCAAGACCTCACTGATATAACACGGGACCTAATTTGAACAGCCATTTTCTGCCTGCCACTTCATTTTCTGTCATTAGTCAGCAAAATGTAATTTGCACCTTCAACTTGCCAGTGGACCCCTTTAAGGTCAAGATACAAATAGACCCATAACTACCACCTGTGGTTGTAATTAGTGAGTCACATAGTGATAGAGTCTGTCCCTGAAGAACCCATGATGCAAATTACACCTTCAGACTAGGCTATAGTTGGCAGCTGAAGCAATCATAATATTTTTAGTTACGGTAGTCTGTGTTGCTTTATTTAGCAGCTATGTAAAGCTAGGCAGTGCCCCTCCACTTTTATTCTGACTATGCCACTGCTGCTGCAGTTCATGTAAGAATGCTATAGATGACTGTGTGGCATTTGTTCTGAAAACAGCTCTTAAAATCTTTTTAAAGCCCAGTGACTTGAAAAATGTTGTAATTTAGACCGGTTTTCTGAAATAAATGTATAAGCTATGTTGTACTGTAAGTGTCTTACAGTGCTTTGTAAAGCCACATTAAGCTTAGGCAGGAGCATGTGCTGGCAGATGTGCAGCCCACAGCACACCGTTTCTCAAGCCCAAATAAATCTTTCAAATTGTGCTCACCACTGGAGGGCACATGCATTTCATATGTGAAGACTTCTAAAATAGGACAGTGACATCAGTGACAGTGGAACTTAGTATTCATTAGCTTTTATTTTGAAATGCCCCCCGACTCTGATAGAAATGTAAGGTTCCTTGATGTGACTGATACAAATGTGTCACCCTCATGATTTAAAATAAAAATATAGTGATTGATACTCCATAGTTCATCTTCTATAAATTCCACATCACTTCACCAACTATGTTAGTAGTTTTAAAAGTTTAATGTTTTGTCTTTATAACACTAGAACAATAATCTCCAAGTGACTACTAACAGTATCTGCCCCTCTGTCTTGTAAAAATATGAGCTAATTGTTAATATTAATCTGTTTATTTTTATGTGCAACAAACATCACAATACAATAAATGCTTTGTTTTACGGCATGTGTCTGCAATAGGCATGCTCACTGCAAGAAGAAAAAAATAGGTCATTGCTGTTTTAGTGTGAACACATTATCTGCTGTCAGCATGCAGCCTTAAACAAGCCTAAAATGTGTAAACTTGACTGTATTGTTCATTCCCTACAATTGTGCATTAGTGCACAAACTTGCTGTCCCTTTGAAAACGATACATAACCACATACAAAACAACATACATGTTAGTTTCTGCATTTTTGTCCTTCTTAATGGACAGTATGTTGAGTTAATGAGGGGGATTAGAGGAACAGGTTATGACTCTGTTCTCAAAGGGGATTGAAAGCGCAGTGGAAGCTCAGCTTTAACAGCATCCTGCCGCATGGCCTGGTCAAGCTGGGTTGTGCTGAGTTGGTGTTAGCAAAAGAAAAGAAAAAGAAACAACACAGTGGCATTAGCAACTTTAACTGGCTGAAAGTAGACAACCTCTAAGAGAAGACAGAAGCCTGAAAACTCAGGATCATTACTGGAGGATCCCTGGGTTTTCTGGCTTAAGATGAGTATCTGCTAAAAGTGTTAGTGCAGGTGGATTTTTCAACAATACATTTAGACTCATGTCTAGGCTGAAAATCGAACTCCGCTGACCTCAAAAATATTTGCCATAGAAAAATATTGGTATAGACCTCTATATGGAAAAGCAGTTCATCTTGACTTGTGTGTTAGGTTAAATTTAGATTTTTGCTAGTTCCCACCCACCCTAGATGTTTTTTTGTGTGTTTAAAGATTAACACACTAATCTTCTGAGATGACCTCCAACTCTAATTAGACTTAACACAATGCAGGGGTTGTCTGTTTCAGTCTGTTAAGGCTCTGGCGACTCTGTAGGAAGCGTCCAGTTGTGAAGTAGGGCTGCACGATTAATTGTTGTTTTTTTTAATCTCGATTCAGACCCCTTTGTGATCTCATTCTCACATGATAGTGATTCTGCTGTCTTTGCATTAGCTGGGAGATCCCTTGCATCAAACCAAGTGATCCATTATCCTTGTTAAGCTAAATTAACCTCTAAATAATGTCGAGGTACATCATGCCATGGTGAATGTTGGGACAGGAACGCCATTTTTGGTGGTGCACGCTGTATTTATCTGCATACATTTTTGTTTTGATTAGCTAAATGTTTCTTAAATCATTTAGATCTTGCTTTACTGACTGAGGTAATTCAAGATGGATAACCTTTGCTGACTGTAGCCAACTCGTAGTGGACCTATATATCTGGTCTATGAGAGCGACAGACAAAAAAATTACTCTGCACACTGATCTGAGCTCTCAGTTCAGGAGCTAGTGATTTTGTAGTGAAAATCCAACAGCTACAGGTTGCATTTTCTTCCTGAGGATCATGCAGGCTTAGGTAGGTTCTTAGGTACTGAAGGATGGTCTTACCAGTTTGGATTTGGATAAGCTGCCTCCTTGAATAACTGGATGAGGCTTCAATAGTTTAGTGCTACATCTGGCTATAGGTGAGCTGTATGTACATAATTTAGAAATATGTTGTGAAAAAAATAATAGCGAGCATTTAATTGGTCAAGAATTGTGAGAGAAGAGTGTGATTCAAAGTTAAATGGAAAAAAAAAACATAATTCATATTTTACCAAGAATCGTGCAGCCCTATTGTGAAGCCCAAAAAACACAGAGGTAGAGATTTACTGGCAGGAGAAGGTAAAGAAGAGGAAGCTATTGCAGTGGCTCCTAGTTCACTGCGGTTACAACAGCAACAAAAAGTGAAACAGGATACCTACAGTATTTACGTTGCCCATTTAGGGGCTGAGTAGGAGTACGGTAAGAATGCAGGTACATAAAGTAGGAATAGATAGAGGCATATCTACTGTAGAACAGACAGAAAAGCAGTGAGGTGCTGGGGGCTCAAAGAGCCAAAATGCAGCAGACACATGCAGTCAGACACAGGCAATATACCTTTGAAGAAAAGAGCCGGAGGAGCTTTTGTCCAGACAGGAAATAAAGAATATGTGGAATTGAAAGAGAGTAACACAAGGAAAAATAAACAGAAACACAAAAATAATGTGTGAATATTGCTGTGCTGTGCTGTCTACCTCAAAATGGAAAGAGAGCAAAAATACTGTAAAAACATACATGTTACAAACATATGTGAGGGAAATGCATGGTGGGATATACAGAATCTCATGTGCTTCTTACTCCGCCATCACATTAAGGAAATATTACAGCAAAACTGCAAAGATTAAATATGCATGTTCTATTAGTGAGTGTGTGACATTATTCCCAGGTTGTTAGAAACATTTGTTATACACAGCTATTCATCAATCATCATTCATTGTCAATCACTGTTACTTCCATTAGTATGTGTAATTTCATCATTAATAATATCTATGCATTTTAAGAAGACTTAAATCCTGTGTTGATTTCATTTAACATAAACTGCCATGAAACAATGACATGACCCAAATGTCCTTTCACTGGATGGCTTCATTGCGACTTTCTCTGAATGCTCTTCCCGGTGATTCTGCACACCAGCTGCACACACGACCGCACCACTAGTGCTAGGCTAAGGTGGACCTAGTTACTGTATGCACTTTAATGCCATGGCAGTAGAAGCTCAGACATATGTTGATGGCAAAAGAATAAGACTGCAACACCAGGTTTTAGTTGACATTTGAACCCACTCCAAATAATATCACACAGAGAGGAAGTGATTGTATAGTACTGTCAGCAGAGAAACCCTGTGGCTACAAAATTTCTGGAACTAAAACCTCAAACCCAATGAGACACCTTAAGGTGCACCACATATACAGTAAGTTAATGTAATGCATTCTGAAACACCAAGATCTTGATATTTCCTCAGCTTCCTATTATTCCCATTTGTTTAACAATTCATGAAGAATTTCAAAGACTTTCTTTCCTTGCACACTACCCCCCTCCCCCTTTTCGCAAGTCATTCAGAGAACCTACAAAAGCTCCTCTGAGATGGCAAACTGGCAATAAACCTTTCACATCATTAGCCATTCATTTATCCACAAGACAGACCATGTGTAAAACCTTACAGAGGCTGAAACTAGAGTGCTCCATTTTCTCCCACGTTCCAGTTCAATGCTCCTCTTCATCCAAGCACAGCACACTTAGAAGATTAATTTTTAATATCATTCAGTCCAAAACCATGCTATGACTTCAAAAACAAATTTTAGTTACTAACAAAATAATGCATTAATTTTGTCCTTAATTGGTATATTTGGACTAATTTTTATTAAGATTTTTTCATTTCTAGAACCATGAGACCAAACTAGCTGATTAGGCAAAAGGGTTAGTTTTATTCTGTTGTGATACTTGGCACTGTACAGCTGTTTTCAAAGGCCTATCCCTGTACTATAATACAGTGGAGGAGTCAGTGAGCGTGTTTTTTAAGAATATTTTTAACATGTACAGTATATTACACACTCTCACATACAGTAGTACATAAATCAAAATAATAATGTTTGTAGCTACAAGGTACAAACAAGCAACTTTTCTTGTTCAAAGAATTCAAGCAGAAGTAATAATAATATTTAAAAAAAGCCCACTGCATTTAGTTTTAGAAAGACACTTACTGGGTTTTTCTTCTTCTTGTCCTTTTTGGCACTCGGCTTTCTGTTGCTGACAAAGTAGTGCAGTGTGCCGTACTCTATAAGTGCAGCAAAGACGAAGATGAAGCAGACGGACACAAACAGGTCCATGGCGGTCACATAGGAAACTTTTGGAAGGGATTTCCTGGCAATAGTACTCAGTGTGGTCATGGTCAGCACAGTGGTGATGCCTGGTACAGATAATGGAGAAAACAAGGACATTTAGTTCAGTGCTATATAAAGACAGAAGCAGTCAAATACAAGTTCAATTATACTTTTCTGTTGAATTTAGTGTTATGTGTCATTTCTACATTCTGCACTCCTATTACATTTAAAAAGCTCTATGATTTACTTGTTAAATATTGTAAGAGTAATGCCACTAGAACAAAATGTTACTGTCATCTTTTGTTAACAGTAGCTTGTCACATCATGTTAATATGCTAATAAAAAGGCAAAATGCATCTCATAGTACCTAATGTGCTATCTGTCATGAAGTAGAACATAATGTGCATGATGTTTACAGATTTTTAGCTTTTTTTTTAAGTTCAGGTGCCTTATGAAAAAGTAATGACATCATTACATGCAATAGGATACCCTCCCTAATAATAGCTTTGCAATTTGAAGAAATCTGAAACCTATTGAAATCCAAGTGGAGATTCAAACTTGCAGTGGATGTTTTTAATAATATTCACAGATCATGATCCAGTTTTTCAATGTGTTAATAAATTGTTTAATTCACACAGCCAAGTGCTCATACATTTTTCAATGTAGGAACACATGCTTCCACATATTAGAGTGTAGAAAGTAAATGTTTCACATTAGAAACACTTGTATTGCCCAGGGAAAACAGGATCAGTGAAAAATTGAAGTGGGTTGAAACTACATTTAATGGAAGGTGAAGCAGATTTATTTTGTTGAAGAATATTTTGGATAATTCTCGTCCAGTGTTTGAAAACAAACCCGAGAGCTTGCACAAGATCTCACGCACATGCAGTTGGCTCTGACTCATGCTAAGGTCAGGAAATTATGGCCACTCGGCACCTTCAAGGTAACATAGTCGGGTCTGGGGTTTTGTAATGAAAAAACATGACACCCAGTCAGCGCTTTCTTTCCCTGATGCGCTTTTAATCATTTTTCAACAGTGGCACAAATCTATCACACAGATGAACAAGCTAATCCAGGACTGACAGCTGATAGACATTAACTGTGAGTAGAGGCAATTCATTGTTGGTTTCAGCCTCTGTATGGGGATTGCTAAAAATACTGTTAATATAGAACAGCCTTATCCTTTAAGTAATGAGTAAAGAGAGAGTACTTCTTTTTACTATCCGCAAGCTTGGCTGGTTTACACTTCAACTGCCACTGGCCATAGTACATCCACTATCTGGTATCCCTCTCCTCTTTTACTCTCTTTGTCATGTACTGGTATGAGTAGGAAATGCATTTCATAGTATAGGGATACAACAGCAACATCACAAGACCTAAACGCCAATAGACCCATCCATGTAAGGGGACCTGCCTTGTATTTTAAAGATGATTTATGTCTAAATTTATTGTATGTTGAAATGACATCAGCCTGCATCAGTTTAACAATCCAGCATTGTGAGTGGATTGATGTACAGTATTTCTGGGTGGGATTGAAGGACTGAGAATGATGTCATCTCCAATAATCCACTTCCTAACCACCTGGCTGCCTGTACCTTCTGCATCATCCTTCAAAGAGGAAATTAAAATATTTGAGTTCTGCTTGCAGGGACTGTTTTACATTCAGTTGTGCTTGCTCATAATCATACTTCAGGTCAGGATTTGGAGCCTAAAGGAGCCAAAACAAGCTGATCAAGGAACATGTATGTAGCCACATCACAAGTGAACTTCTGAGGATGCACACTGGATGCCAAGCTGACAAATTTTCTTGAAATACCAGCTTTTGTTCTCTTTTTTTCCAGCCTGTTTGTTAGATATTAATAAATCAGTCAGATAATTATTAGACAATGTGTTGAATCAAATGTGTTAGTAATGCAATTTAGTAAGAATTAAACTCTGCTCTAGTCTGTTCTGTTTCAAGGTTGACAGATAGAATGTTGATTCTGAAAAGTGTACCTTGACACCAATTGTTTTCTTGTATTAATCCTGTGTTAGAATTATGTCTGAATCAATGTTTTAGTTACGCACCATGTGACAAGACACACACATGTTGAAATTCTTCATTTTGTTATGACTAGTGCTTGAAGCATGTGGAGCATAAGATAAGAGATGGAGTCGTCGGACTGACTCCATCTCGTGATGTTTTGTAATCTTTTTGTGTAAGGGGTTAGCCCAAAACATATAAATGTATTAGGCTCTGTGTTTCGGGGGCTCTTTCTTTTCCAGCAGCCTGCCTGTGGATGTCTGGAGGAAGGAGCCACCTGGGTTGTGTTTTGTAACTTTGCTTGTGGTTTAAATAAATCAGCACTAAAATGACAAAAGACGGACCAATAAAAGAACTGGGGTATTACATGTCACCTTTTTGTATTCACTGAAGAGGCAACCCATTGTGCAACCTCAGCATGATAATGTAGGTGATAACCAGAGGATTGGCGGTTCGATTCCCAGCTACTCCAGTCCACATGTCGAAGTGTCCTTGAGCAAGACGCTGATATCACCGGTGTGTGAATGTGTGAGCGCTTGTGTGTACAAATGGATGAATGGGAAATAGTGTAAAATGCTTAGAAAGGTGCTACATAAGTATAAGACAATTCACCATTTACCATCTCCTTCCTGCTGTAATACGTAATTGTCTCATTAAGGCATGCATGAAAATGTACAGTATGTGCCAGGATAGGCTCTTCTAATCAAGATGAACTAGATTCTTAAGCAGCTGCCCTGTCTCTGAGGGTAAGAGGAGGAGGATGATAGATAGTGGAGAAAACAACAGGAAAAAAGAATGGCAGGGCAGAGGATGCTTAAGCAGACTCCATTTCAATATAGGCTGGTGTGTGACCACCACAGGGTTCTTGATGCAATTCACAGCAGGGAATAATTAAGGCCAGGATGTCTAATGAACCTCGCTGGTACAACTAAAGCATTTGCATGTGTGGGCTAGATGGACTGATAATACAAATAAACAACATCAAGCCTGTCGAGCCTTGATGAAAAGTTATGTAATAGACAGATATGGAGCCTAACAGCAAACAAACAAAAAAATAAGCAGTAGAGCTATTTAGTAGAAACATTTACTAAAAATCTTTGACTTTTTTAAAATTTACTACAAATGACCAAAATCTTTTCATCATTTTTCTTTACCCAAGGATGTCCTGGCTGGTACTGCATCCTTGTTAATCCAGAATGAGACCCAGGAGAGAACAACAATCAGAGTGCATGGAATGTAAGTCTGGATGGTAAAGTAGCCCATTCTCCTGCTGAGGTCAAAGAAGACAGTCAGCACCACATAGTCTCCTGGGGACAAATAACAAGAGAAACAAAAGAGTGAGGACATTGTGGAATGTCTGACAAAGCATCAGGGATATACAGTTTTTAAGAGAGATAAAATTCACTTTAAATGTGTAAAAATGGTAGAGTGATTGGTTTTGAGTACTGTTTGTAGTACATACTTGAAAACAAGGGCAAGATCGTCATGTACATTAGTGCACTGAGAAAGTTTTAAGAAAGTATTGATAAGGTTTGCATGATCAAAGAAGGTTGTCAACACAGAAACACAAAGTGTGCAACAAGCTGTTAAATCACAATCTGATCATTATATAATGTGACCAAAATCTTCACAGCCTGGTTGCTCAAGGCAACTTCAGAGGGCTGGAGCCGGACTTGCTAAGATACACACACAAACCCTCGTCTCCTGCCAGCAGTTAGCTGGGAAATGGGCGCCAGCATCCAGGTGTCGATGAGCCACCTCTGAGCTGGCTGTCTGACCCAAGCAGATGCTAGGTATTAAAAAGCTGAGGTTAGCTGAGCCCAGATACACCTGACCCTGACATTATAGATCATCTGGCCTGACTGTTCTAAAGTGCAAGCTAAGCACACAGGCATACATGAATGCAACCTTGTGTGCAACCTCTTTCACCACACATATTTGAAAATGAGCTTCTAACACCCTTTCAATGAGGGTGAATGGACTCAGGACCAGACCGAGAGATGGGCATGTCAATGACAATCACATCTCTCACACACACACACACACACACACACACACACACACACACACACATCAGTAGCATCCCTGCGAGCCTGACAATGCTTGCCAATAGTTACTGCCCTACCTAAGAACCCGTCTGTCTTGTTCTGTCAGTTTAATGGCAGTACACTGCTGTCCTCCAGATCAGTCAGTTGAATGCTAATTGAATAACATGAGACCGCCTTGTCTTGTCAGTATGGCTTGTAACCTGTAGGCCACAAACCACACTCAGCCATGTAGCTACAGTATTTGTGTCAGAATGTGTGTGTTTAAGAACTCCTAGGGCACAGAACAGTCTCTGCAGACGGGGAGTGAACAGCTGGCTAATAATTTTCCTCATGAGAATGGGTGCACACCACATAATGCAGTTTACTGAGAAACAGCCAACATCTGTGCATTTGTTTGTTAATGAGAGACAGAGAAAGCGATGAGGCTGCCAATGTTTATTATGTCTGCAAACGTGGCTCTGTGAGTGAATGCTCATTGCAGCTGGACAGGAACCAAGTCTTTGTGGTTTATCCCGGCATGTGCCTCTGTTCATTGATAGCATCATTAAATAAAGCTAGTGCAGTAACCCCAGCAGCACAATCACAACTGTTCACATCACCACATATGTTTTATGCTGAGGTAGGCAGGTGTACATGATCTTATAGTGTGATGCCTCGGGTTCTAGGGGTACAGGAGACACATGAAGCCTGCTCTCACAGGTGTTGCAGCCCACTACTTTGTTTTTATTAACATTACATTAGCAGGGCCCCTTAACCAAGACCCCTGACAGCTGGGAAACTGCTGGTTAATACACTTATTCCAGCTTGGTCAGCAGCACAAAACCATCTTAACATTTCCTCAGACTAATGATAATGGGCTTTCCACCTTTCCAGGGTGAGGTCAGCTGGTGCAAGACACTCCTGCAATATGCCTCTCCTTGTCCATATGCCATAGCACTTGCCAGGAGAACACTGAAGCCATGTTATCGACCACTGTCCTCCATTCTGGCAGGCTGATGTATCAGACTGCCTGCATTACGGATTTGTACTAATGCATCCGTTTGTTAATGACTTCCTGGTTTTACTCAAAATGGTTTCCAGTTCCCTCACTAGCTTAAGTGTTTATCTGGGATTTCACAACATTACCATAGGTGAGCAAATAGTTTAGTGCTTCTGATAAACAGTCACAACACAATCAGTGAATGTGTGAACACTTTACATTACACAGTTCAGTTTGCAAGTTGTTTGTTTATACCTGATGGTGTGAATTTTAGAACAGTGATGCTGCCATCTTTCAAATTAGTCTGATGGAATATGTTTTTGTCTGTAAAAATGAATGCAGTCCTGGTATGTGGGGTTAGTTGGCATATAGACGAGGGCATTTATGTGCATTAATACCAATTTGAGATATTTCTCGATCACTAGGGACTTTAAATTTAAGTATTGCCCCTTTGTAAAATGCAGTTGATGCAGCTGTCCCCATGTCGGCCCCCCAGAAAAACAGCACATCAACTTTGTATCAGTTCCGTTCTACAGCTTGCCTTGTTGTCATGAAAAACAGGATTCTCACTAGAAATCTAGGAACCCCCTCTTTGGTACAGTTTGTTAAATATTTCTTTTTATGATTTACTAACATAAAAATGGTGGAGTTTTGCCTACTGTATTTACCCAGTAAAAGGTAAATACATCCTCAAATTCTGCTAGAAGCCTCCCGTCCAGCGTATTTGAGAGTCACTGAGGGCTCAGTGGTTGTAGGAGGCGTGACCTTGTGGCTACATAGTGTGTGATATGGAAAGGTTAGACTAATGCTCAGTGTAACATTAAGTCAGAGCAAATCAGCCATGATACTGTTGGACTTTGCTTTTCTACACAGTATTTTTGTGTGAGAGCAAACACCTGCACACAGTGGCATGTTCAGTCTGTATATTTGGGGGAAAAAGTGGAACCTAATTCTTATTGCTTCAAATTCAACTTCAAACTATCTTCTTGAAATTTTGGTTTTTTACAAATTTTGTTCAAGATGGGAGGGAACCTTTGGTTGTGACAGTATTATTGTACACTTTATTGTGCTGTATAGACAAAGGTTTGTACATTTATTCGCAGGCATGCCTGTGTGTGGGATGAAAACTCCTACTTTATTTCTCATAACACTGCAAAGAATTGAAGCTTTTTGTGCCTGTGTTCTTTTTAATGGGAGCCCTCAAACTAACCTTAGCTTGTGCTTCCTATCAGTCAGTGCCACACACAGAGAATTGTTCGTTCACAAGACTGTTCATGCTTCATCTTTACAGGGTGTATAGGTGGCTCTCTTCATAAATGAAGCACACTAACAGCTGTGTGAAAACTCAACATTGCAGACAACAGCTCACAACTATTGTTTGTATTAAGATATACTGTAGTTAGAAGTATTTTTATTAGGATCACACATTTCCCTGGCAAAAGCAAAGCGCTGATATAATCTATGGGGAGCAATAAAGACCTGGCAGGGATGATCATTCATCAGAAAACAGCATTGCTTCATTGTTAAAAGCTGCAGAAACAAAAGACTCAACATAAATTAGACACGCACAGCAGAGGGTGAAAAAAAGATTGTTCCTCCAGTATGAGCCTTCTACCATGGTGGGAAATTGGATGTTATACTACTCCGACATACAGAGCATGTTATAACATTCTGTATTTGATGAGAGTATTAAACTCAACTTCAAACTATCTTCTTGAAATTTTGGCTTGGAGGGGGGGAAGTGACATGAAAATATCATTCTGCCGGCAGCCAGACTGTAAATTGGTGTGGATATAGATGGGCAGGAGAGACCTGAGGCACATGCTGGCCATCTAGTGAAGGAGGATAAGCTAGACACATTGTGGAGTTGATGACAAGCTGTCGTACCGAGCTCCTCTGCTGTCAAGGGTCATCTATATCGGAGGTGACAGTAGAGGCTACTCTGCGCATGTCTGTTTAAGACAGGAGCTTTGCTAATGACCAGAGTTATGCCATGGCTGGTTGCCAGGGTCAGCGATACTTACAGACAGTGTTAACTCACCAGTCTTTGCGACATGACTTGGGGCTATTTGTGAGTGATTAACCAGTAACTGTGGTTTTGCATTTTGCCTCTACACAGGCTACTGCAGCTTTTCCTACCCAGTAGTGGGTGGCAAGATGATGTCACAGTGAAAAAAGGCACAGGATTGTCATGGGGAGTAACCAGACAGCAGTTGACAGAGTTTGATTACCTTGTTGTTAACACTGTGTTTACTGTGACAGGGACTGATGATTATCCCTGTCTCAGATGCACTAATGGCTCTCAAATTATTGAGAGCAAGGCTGTTTAAACAATTTATGACAGCTAGTACAAAACTGCCAAAACAGTTTCTCTTAACATTATTTGAAGAGTTTAACCGAAAGTGGAAAAGTTAGAAAAACAATTTTAAAATCCGTCTTTGATAAAAGCATTATTTTTGACGATGAGACATACTGTTGTCAGGACCAGATTAATCTGCATAGGAGCTCAGGGACAAAGTACTCTCACACACACACACACACACATATTCTCCCAACCAATCTTGCTTGAGTCACAAAAACAAACCAGTATTTCTCTGCTGTAAAACATTCCTGCCTTGGTTTACTGTATGAATGTGTGTTAATTTGACTGAACACAAAGTGGGAAAGAATATGCACCAAGGAAGGATGGCTACAAGTGAAATGTTACAGGTATTAAACCTACATTTTCTGACTGGGAATATAGGATATACATAGGTCTAAAAATTTGGTCAAAACACAGATGTTCAATTTTTTTTGTGGCCCAGTTTTAATTGTGCTTTAGTTGTGCACATCAACAAAAGAATTTGTAATTAACCAAACCAACACAAAATAATTACAGAACATGTGACGGACACCTCCTCTGCCAAGTTGTTTAAAAATGTTCTTGAGAAATCTTATATCAGGCCACAAACAAACATCCTGTTTGTTCCTCATCATCATCTCACTTATTTAAGTTCTCCATGGAAATTTTAAAGACTGAACTCCATTAGCGAGATTATTTCCGTCACATCATGCAATTAAAAACAAGGCCAACACATTCGTAATCTACTTCTCTCACCTCTCTCTGTCTTAGACGTGTTCCAGCTTACCTTGTCTAAATATGGCTTCATTATTTCTTATTCACACACTGAGGAGAAATGCGATTTACACTCATTAAATAAGCTCTAAAATTTAACTCCCACTGTACTTTCTCCTGATGTTTTTTTTTCTGGTCTTAGTTTCTGTTCTAATCAATTTGGCT